AGATATAAAACTAGAGCATTCTATAATAAGTGAGTTACATAAATATTTAGTAAACAGAGAGGATTAGGTCAGTAAAAGGAGAAACAGATGCGGATAAAACAGACGATATCGATTTTTTTTCGTTCTCTTCACTCTCTTATTAATGTTAGCATGCACATTCAAAATTTCACATAGTACATATACTTACTAACATAAAAATATCACAATTATAAAAAAATTGAATGTAAAATGGCGCGTCGTGTATGGATAAAACTCGGTACAACAGTTGATGCCTCTAATGGATTGTCCGCAATCTTAGAACTACATAATATGTCTGTAAAACGCACGGAAATTTTCAAAAATTTCAAATCAATCACCCACAGATGTTCACAGTACAAGAAATATCCAACATGTCCATACTAATTGAAAATAAAAGAATATGCTAATGGCAGTTATGAAATCGTCGAAATCTGAATCTCACACACATCAACAAAAAATGAAACACAACGCTTACTATCACCTGTTCGTGCTGAAGTTCGTGGTTTCACAGATAATGGATTAACAATAGTTCATACAAAAAAGTGGTGAAAACTCTTCATCCTAATCTCATAAAAGATACGAAGATTAAAAATGCAGTAGAATACAGGCAAAAACAAAATCGAGATCGAATCAAATTTATCGAAGATTTACAGAAATGGTGCTCGAATCGCGCTCAGATTCCACCTACTGACAATATGCATCAGGTAACGAGTCTGACAGATGAAATCTTCAGGAACTTAATATATATATTTCTCAGGTTTTGTACCGTATTTCAACGTTGAAAGTGTTTATTATAGCTTCATCTGTTTAACAACTCGATAATTACTTTCAACAGTCAAACATTGTTCGGTTTTGGCGATCGATGCTCCTTATAAAGTAACTGCTACAGAATTACCATTGATCGTCTTCGGTACATCCGATGCTAATCGTCGATTCTTTTTAATGGGAGTATGTTTGATCTCAACTGATGAATCAGCAACCACATTTGCAACGCTGTTTAAAGGCATAGAAGTGTGGGCGACTACGATGAACAATCAGTTGTATTCCATATCTGCCGTTATGGCTGATGGAGCAGCCGGTGTTACATTAGCAATGTAATTTTTATTTTATTTTCTAAGTGATCAGTCCTTTCAGCGCTGCAATCTTTCTTTTGATAGAAAAACTTTGCTCAATATTTCGAATATCAATGGTTCAGCTCTATGTTTTTGATATGAAGGAGTTGTACGAATGACACCATTGACGAACAATGCACTTGAAAGTCTCCATGGACGCATTAAACAACACTACACTATGAGAAATAAGTTACCGTTAGATGCATTTATGTCAATCGCTGAAAGGATGCTAGGAGACTGGTCGATACCTGTTCAGCAGCATCCATTTCAAACGCATGTCACACTTGGTGATGAAATTGATTCGAAAGCCTATGAATGGTTACAAAAAGTAAAGTTCGAAGACGTTGTGCTGGCTGCTATGCGAAAATCAGAGAACAGAAATCAAAAGAAGCAAGTAATGCAACAGCAAAGAAAGTAAAAACTTTCTGCTCATATTGTGACAAATTTTATTGTCTTGGTTGTTTTAATGAGAAACATCATGCTACGAAATAAATAGTTCAAACAATGCCTAGACAGAATAGATCATACATCATATGTAAATTTATGATAAAGAAACAAAAAAAAGTTGTTTTCTCTTTCATTTTCTTTTGAAACTGGAGCGGATCCCACCGGTGGGAGCCATCGCGGTGAAAGGGTTAAATCACAAATACTGCAGTTGAATGCCTTTACGTTTGTTGTACCGTCGACAAATTCAAAGTTGAAAACGAATACATAGGTGAGCCTCCTCTTTTCTATGGGTTGGCAAACATATGACCAATTTAAAGACTGGCTCGGCTAGGCTCGAATTCTAGATTACTCACAAATGTTGCCACCCATTTTTTATTCATGTAAATGTGGCCTAAAAGAATATTACTGTATGCACGCGAATAATCTTACGTTGATGTGGGGTGTTCGAAAAGTCCTGTTATTGATCGGGAAAAGAAGGAATAAAAGTAAAACGAAGAAAGCAAAATATGCTTTGCCAAAACTAACTAGACTAACTTCATTAAAATACTATTTGTGTAAACATTGGTACTGTATTATGATTTCTTCGTTAATTTATGTAATTTTACTTCCTTATATCTACTGTTCCTCTCAGGATAATGCGAAATTCCGGGCTCTTTTGCCTGTTCTCCATTTAATTACTTTTTGCCGCGTTCTTTTGCCTTATATTCTAGCCAATTAAGCACACTGGGCTCTTTTGCCATTTTGTCCGTTTTTATTTAGGAAATGTTAACATAGTCCAATGCGCTGTTACTTCGATATTATTGTCTAACATTGCATTGTCGTCAAACCTTCTGACGCGCTAACGTATTCGGTTAAATTAGTGTTTTTCGGCTTAAAATTTACACCCTGCTTTTTTCGTTGGGTTCCTTCTTTCAAAGTTTTCCGATTCCTCTTTAGTTCCTCTTTTTTAGAAAAGCTTGTGTACGAAGCCAGAATACGCACAGTGGACATTTAGGTGGCATTTTGGTGAAAAATCGCAAGTTCGAATTTTTATATTTTTGAATGATGGCATATATACTATAAATAATGTCCTATTTAACGGTGAAAGTTTTTCGCTTTTGCTTCTTCTAAAGTTGAGAAAATTAAATTACAAAATTATCAGTAGAATTAGTATGCTGGCGCGTAAAATTGCATTTTCTCCGTCAAATTATAAACTTTTTTCAAAAACAATGACATATATAGAATCGCCATCTGTTGGGCTATCTATCCGTAAAGAAATTTTCGTCGGACAAAGTTAAATTTCGAGGAACGCGCGAAGAACTTTCCACGAAACTCATCTAAAAAAACGACGTCCTCATAAAACTGCAATCGCTAAACTCTGCTGAGCAGCTATTGATATGAAAAATAGCTCAAAATGTTCGTCTCAACCTCCTCTACATATAATGATCTCACAAAGTCTCCCAACTCTAGGGGTGCTGAGTTACAGGCTTTCCAAAAAGTCTGAGGATTTTCGAGTATTTCGCAGTTTTCTCCCTTAAAAACACACTTTTTCTTGAAAGTAAGGTCATATTCGGAATCACCGTGAAAAACTGCATCGAATGATGTATAGCTTTTTAATTTTTCTGCAGAAATATTTTCAATCACATTGGGTTATAGACTTGAAAGCTTGTCCGCAGCAAATTTCGCTTAGGAATTTGGATATTTATTTTAGCAATAGTACACAAGTCTATAAACACATTTTTTATAGATTTCGAATATGATCTTTCGCATAGTGAGGTTCTCGAAATGCAAAAATATTTTTTATGGGTTTTCCAGAGATCCGGTCTCCAGTAAATCCACAAGGAATTACTTTTGAGTACTGAAAATCTCATCATTAGAAAGAGCATAGTCGAAAACCTATTGAAGAACGTGTTTATAGGCTTTCATACCACTCCTACAGCATATGTCCGCCTGCTCTATAGAAAAATGCTTACTGTGATACGATAACAAATTGAAATCTTTCCTTTTTTTAATATGACGAGCAAAAATGAATCGATTACTTTATTGATTGTATTTTTATTTTCATTCTACACTCATAGAAAAAAGTCACTAATAAATAATAAAATAAAACTAGTTAACATTATTTTAATTTCATGTTCGTTTACTAAGAACTGTCAATGTCGAGATAAAATTTTTCAGTTTTTAATAAACACTGTTTTCTAGATTACTATTCTTTTAGCTTGAAAGAAGTTTCTATGTCAAAAAAATAGAAATCCATGGTTTTATTTCAATAATCAATTACCATCTAACTGATACATTTATGTCTCAATGTCAGAGAAATAATAACAATAACTAGAATGTTTGCTTAATGAGAATTAATTTAACATCATTTGCCTCTATTACTATTTTTTGTTTTGAAACTTATGAGGGAACCTTTTTAGCTGATAAAACGCTTTTTGCTCGGAATCTAGTGGGTTATAGGTTATCATCATGCTGATTACGAATATGACCATGGGGATTGCCCTTAGCCCTTCGAAGACCTAATGTTTTAGAAAACCAGGTTTTCAGAAACTCTAAAATATAACCAGAGCCTTCTTAATGAGGTATGATTGTAGACCGCAAATTTGATTAAAATGAGATATCTCCCAGCTTCACACGACCTTTCTTTGCAAATAGAATTTACAAGAAAAGCCCTAAATTAATTTCTTCTTATTTCTGTAGCTTTGAGCTGACAATGAACATTTAGTGCTTTTCTTGTAAATTCTATAACTTTGCAAAGAAAGATCGTGAAAAGCTGGGAGATATCTCATTTTAATCAGAAATTTGCGGTCTGCAATCATACCTCATTAACTCATTAAGAAAGGTTCTGGTTATATTTCAGAGTTTCTGAAAATCTGGTTTCTAAAACACCAGGTCCTCGAAGGACTAAGGGCAACCCCATGGTCATATTCGTAATCAGCACGGTCGATAACCTATGGCTCACTAGATTCCGAGCAAAAAGCGTTGAATCACCTAAAAAGATTTCCTCGTTAGTTCGACAGAAAATTACCGTTACTGTTCTCTATTTTTAAAAAATTACCTTTGAATTTTGAAATGAAGAATAACAAGAAGCCAAAGAACACGTTTAATTACTTATCTTTGTTCTTTTCTATATTTCTGGATATCAGTAGACAAATGACACTATTATTTCATCATAAAAAAGGACACTCTACGGTTTTCTCCTTATTAATCACACTTAACATAAAAGTTTTTATATAAAATAATCATTGCTAGTAGTACGGTAAACCAGAGGTAGAAATGTATAATAACTACGACTATATCAATGAAGTTGAAATATCACAATCATTAATCTGTTGTATATGTTTACAGCCATGCAATGACCCCTATATGCATTTAACGTGTGAAAATATATTTTGTCACTCATGTATAAAATTATTAAAAAACTGTCCTCTTTGTCGGGGAAATATGTCTGAAATTAATCTTACCAAAGCCAATAGAATTATACAAAATTTATTAAATGAATTAAAAGTATTTGCTATTTTTTCTATTAAGAATTTCAGTCATAGAACATTTTCGTCTTTAGGTTCAATGTAATGTATGTCAAACGGTGATAGATCGTGGGCACTATGGAAATCATGCATGTAATGGAAACAGTAATAATCAAATTCAAAATTTACAGAAGGCAACTATACAGCAAGAAATACAGGTAACTATATCTTAGATCTGTGTGTTTAATTAAAGCATTGACATCGATTCCTTTCCTTGACTTCTGCCCCAGAGACGCCATCCCAACGGGTGTAGAGAGGGGGATCTCCTCCTTGCTTTTTGAAATCTTTTACTCCCGAATTTGAAAATTTTTTGATTTGGAAATGAGATCAACGATCGGGACCATCTGGCATGTGTTAATAATCATAACAGCATGTGGAAATGAAGAGGAAAAACTTTTGAGCTCCGATTTAATGTTGCATAATGAGCAATCGTTGATTACTCTTTATAAATATTCTTGGTTTAATAGTAAACACGAGCATATTTTCTTTTTCTCGTTTACAAGAAATCTGCTACGACTTGCATTTTGAAAGCCTTCCTTTCTTCTTGCTTTCATTCACTAATTTGGCTCCCAAATCCTGCGGTATAAACGCCTGACTCTTCGTAACAAAACGCTTTTGTTCACTGAGTTTACTCCCTAAGCCAGAGTTTGAGGCTCAGGTTTTTTATCAATACTTCAGATCATGACGATGAATTAGTACGTTTTTCTCTTAATTTTAAAGTAATTTATGTCTAAGACATAAACTGCGGCGTAATGGAAACAATTAAAACGGAGACAGGGTATTCGAAAAAGTACAACAACAGATTTTGAAATGATTCAGTTGTTTTTCATAGTTAAGTGTCCGCAACCTAGAATAGAAAACAGTTCGGTTTAGTTTTATCACAGAAACTATAGCAAAAACTTGAGTGCATAAAGTTTTTTGTATATGAAAACTTGTATATTACTATCCGTTCCAAGATACAAGGCAGGCGATTGCTTTTTGAATAACTTTTCGTAGAAGATAGATAAAGATCTGTGGTTTTCACTATTCGATAACCAAGATCTTTACACATCTTTCCACAAGCAAAAATGGTTCTTGAAAAAGATTCAAAGACTGGATTTTGAGCAGATCTTTAGGAAACTGGTTTTGATCTCTGAGAGCTGACATAGAAGTAGGTCGATCTTTGTTCATAGATAGATCGATGTCCTCTACAAAATGGAAACTAAGCAAATCCTTAGTTTTTTCCGATTCAGGCATGGTATCGGATTTCCTGAGAGTCCAGAATCAATATTTATTTAGGTGTGGCAATTCCGAAAATAAATGAAAACATAGGTAATCGATCACGTTGAATCTCGTGGCAATATTTGCTTTCAAAAACACTTGCAAAAACCTAGTGAAAACCTATATTAGGTAAAATAACCCATTTTTATATTTGAGTAAAATTAAAAAATTCCTAACCCAACCAATATTCATCCAAATTACGTCAGAATATCAAAATGTACTCTATCTTACCTGCTCTATATGATGCAGCTCAATAAAAGGTATAAAAGTCAACAGAAAATAATTTAGATTTTGAAGGGGTTTTCTAGAAATCTTCCGAAGTATAACAATCCTTTTTACTATTCTCAAATAGAAAACCATATAAAGCAGATAAAGTAGAGTACATCTTGAAATTCTGACGTAATTTGGATGAAT